TATCGCGGGACACTCTCCAGTATAGCTCAATGGATCGCTGAGGTGCGCAAACCGTCACACCACGGTAAGGTCCAGTCTCTTCGTGACGGCATACGTAACACATGTCCAAACCAACACAGCTTCGGGTGCTGGACACATTCTTCAATGGAAGTACCCATTGCACAACCGAAAACGCGCTTTCCAATTGCCTCGCAGCGAGCATGGCGACCCGGCTGACGTCACTACGTCACGGTCGATTAGGCATAAGTTTATCCGTATATATTAGTTGATGGTTGTACGTAGGCCGAGATACTGTCATGGCGCCCACACTTAGACAGGAAGGCGATGAGGGTCCTTAACCAAAGCCTTTGGTTCAAAAGCTTAACGGCAAGGCAGCGGTGTTTGGCGGGAAATGCAAATGCATTACCACTTCCACGGAACAGGTTGCAATCTCCAACCTGGTAGGCCAGGAGACTGGGTTTGTCAGACCTCCAACAAACCTGGTATGGGAGACTCTGTGATCGTCGCGGCGACATCCAGTATAGCTCAGTAGGTCGTTGAGATGCACAAGAATGGCGAGACAGGTCGTGGGCTGTCGGAGATTTTTCACCAACCGTATGAGAAGTGCGTTACTTCTATAATTTTCAAGCACTCATGTTTCGTTCAATATCATTTTGAGTCTTTCAGCAAATTTGAGCACAAGTGCATCAATCTGACGGATTAGGAAAATTGATCGCTAAGGAAACGCGTTAACTAGAAATCCTTCACAGGGAGATTTATGCGTGGTGACCAACTTAATCATGTTGGAAAAAATGTGTTTAATTCGCAGTTGTAAGCTGACTGATAAGAAATAATGAACCAAAAGTACGCGATATAATGTCGAGGTACTGCTCAGTCTGTAAAATAATCCAGTCCTCCACTTTCACCTGTCTGCCGGATGATCCACTTAGTCAGGCGGTGGCGATCTCATGTGCTTTGTAGAAAAGCCTCACCGGTTTCGTCCTTTATCATCATCATCATCATCATCATCATCATCATCATCATCATCATCAACATCAGCTGTAATAACCGCGTACTCGTCGCACAGTGGTTGTAGCTGCCGCAGATTCGTTCACTGAGGATTCGGAGAGTTGGGGTAGCTAGCTGCGCATTGCAGGCGGGGGATAATACATTGGTGCATAAATCCAGCGCTGTCAGTGGGCTGCCAAGTGGGGTGGAGGTGGGGGGTTGGAATAGGAGCTATGTATTGAAGGCAATAGCTTGGATGTATGAGCGCCAATGAGGGCGCGACTGGGCAATGTCTGGCAAAGTCACTAACCATTGAAGACGGCAGTGACCAGCGCAGCTGAGTCTGCTGGTAATGGCTTTTCTACTTCGCTGCCAAGTCATTGTTTGACCGCCTCTGGCTCTCTTCCACCCTTTACTTGGTTGTCCTTCTTGGGGCTTATCAAATAGACAGCTTTACAGTCTCTGTGAATCTGATGTTCCCCTAGGACATCACGCTTTACGCGATTGGCGAAATACACTTATTTTCTAAGTGAAAACTGGAGCCGTTAAACTGGATGTGTTACACGAAAACGGCTTCATATTTCTCTTTGTTATCGTGATGTACGAGATATCACACACACACACACACTACTCAATTGGAGCATTTTCGAAGTAGTCAACTCGCTATGATGTACTCGTCGCGTTAGCCAAAATATGACATCTATCCATTGGGATAGCTTACAGTTTGAACCAGGTTCGCAATGACGTCATCATCACTAAATGCGTAAAGTAATGGCGTGATCACAGACATGGGTCCGCGTACCATTTAATGATGGTAGTTGCTGTCACACAGAATTCCAGTGACACTTACATTTCACACCAGGTTCGGAGGTTTAACAGGACCGTTTAATGTAGACAACTCACGCGATCTGTTTGACGTTTTATCAGACACCCTGTCCATTGGATATCATGCTAGCGAACTCGTGTGCTTCTTTCGTTTGGTTATCCCAAAGTTGCACTGTTTATCCGGTAGAAAAATGTACATCACATGTATGGCTACGCACGACGTCTACACAGAAGAGATGCCAGAAACATGAGAGTAAGAAAATGCCTATAAATAAACAGATTAAATATGAAAGCTATTCGCTGGCTTTACTGTCTGTGTTTAGGCATTTTTGTGTCGTTTGGCGTTGATGAACAACCGATATAAGTTTGAGTGGTGTTCATCATCAGCACAATGCTCTCATCTGAAAAACCTTCACAGGTGTAGTAAAACTTTCTACGCCCAAATGTTGCATTCTGTTGCGCATGTGCTCAAACCAAAAACCGTCCCGATCTGCGTTCACATTTCTGCAGCTCATCAAATTTCATTGTTCACTGAAGCAACATCGCCTCCGGCTGAAAAGCCTTGTGGGGTGATTTCCCAGCTTCGCTGAGATCCCGGACTCGAAAGATTGGACTGGTGCGTTCACATTCTGCAGCTCATCAAATTTCATTGTTCACTGAAGCAACATCGCCTCCGGCTGAAAAGCCTTGTGGGGTGATTTCCCAGCTTCGCTGAGATCCCGGACTCGAAAGATTGGACTGGTACTCTCGACTCAATTACCCGATTGCTTTAGTCCATCAGGGACACATCATAACTTTCGAAAATTCAATTCCATTGTGCGAATACTGAGCGCCAATTTTTAGGACACGTGATCCGTTTATTTCCAAAGTGTGTCATATCTCGGGACTTCTAAACATGTCCTCTCAGGGTGTTCGATTCACACCCAGATAGCGTCGGAGACGGTAATTCCTCAAAGTGAACACTTTGTTTTCCAAGCTATCGCCCCATGTCATCGACTGTATCGTTTTGGGCTGGTTCCCCTCGAAGCTGGGACATGCTGAAAGCCCGAAGTACGGTGAACATTAGGATGACATAGGTCCCCTGGCCAACGTAATCGGAATATCTAGGATCTCTGTTTCTAGAGCCTGACCTAACAAAGCTACGCGCTGTCGCACGTACTTACTCAAGCCATGTTCTCACAAGACTCGCGCAACACCGCGCAGAAATAGTCCGTCGATTACCGATAAACGTCGGATATCTTGACGAGGGGTGTAGATCAAGTTTCGCATCCGTACAACAATATTGCTTGCAGAGATGTGTAGTAAACTCGACACTCCTGAAAGATGACCAGTAATAAGTGTGACGTGCCCAAACTTATCCTTTGTTAGCTTTCAAGAGGCCTCCACCTTCACTCCACCATTAAGAGAGCTACAGCTTCCCAACTTCACAGAAGGGTCAACTTCCTTCAAGATATTTCTACTCAAGTTGACGGCGGAAAGTACTCATTGATGGTACTGAGGACTGGTTATACATTTTTCGACGCTCCAAAAGCATATCAAACCGTGGTATCTTGATCGCTAAACTGTTCATCGTTTCTCAGAAGACAGTTGTCACCTATTCCAGCGATATCATCGGCACAGGTACGTCGGATATCCCAAAGAGAGTCACATCGAATTGCTTCGCGGATCCTGTGGATGGCAAATGTATGACAAAGCAGTAATGTGGTCGGCATAACAAGTTAGCATAACGTTAAGCAGCTTTCGGCTGTGAGGTACACTAGTACAAAATACCAAATCCAGGGCAACTGTTTTCCAATTTCGTACACAATATGGCAGTGAAAAAAGTGTATACAGTCTGCCGAGTAAGGCTTTTACACCTGGGCAATGCGGCCTTTTCATATCCACGTCGAATCATCCCGATTCTTATCAAATGACACTATCAAATCCGCTTAAACAAGCGATCTGAGGAGCATTCAATCAAATCTTAGAAACTGGACAGATCAGTGCAACGGGTTCGGCACACGATCAATACCAAGATGAGCGATACTGCTGTACAGTCCTCAGTATATTTTGGGGGAAGAATCCATGATGATTAATGAGATACACTCATTTGAAAACAAATTTGGTTTTGCGAGAGACTTACCAGCTGAATCTCTCGGTTGTAATGTTTCCAGGCAAGTGAACCTGCCGCAGAAGGCCGCCTCATCATTCAGCTGCTACGATATTCAAGATGTTGCGATACATGTATATTCGTAACGCACTACTCATGAGGTTGCTGAAAACTCTTTGAAGAGTTTACAGCAAGCCTTTTCATATCCACGTCGAATCATCCCGATTCTTATCAAATGACACTATCAAATCCGCTTAAACAAGCGATCTGAGGAGCATTCAATCAAATCTTAGAAACTGGACAGATCAGTGCAACGGGTTCGGCACACGATCAATACCAAGATGAGCGATACTGCTGTACAGTCCTCAGTATATTTTGGGGGAAGAATCCATGATGATTAATGAGATACACTCATTTGAAAACAAATTTGGTTTTGCGAGAGACTTACCAGCTGAATCTCTCGGTTGTAATGTTTCCAGGCAAGTGAACCTGCCGCAGAAGGCCGCCTCATCATTCAGCTGCTACGATATTCAAGATGTTGCGATACATGTATATTCGTAACGCACTACTCATGAGGTTGCTGAAAACTCTTTGAAGAGTTTACAGCAATTTTATGGGTAATTCTTGATGACATTACCAACAGAAGAGTGGCTAGGCATGAAATGAATCGACACAGCTGTCAGAACGGTAAGTCCCGTTCATGAGCTATCGAGGGGTCTCTGACTGCGTGATCAGAAAACGCATGAATCACGTGCATGAAATAGAAGTTGAAACGTAAAAATCTAACATAAGATAGGGAGTATCACACCCTCACACGCACCGTTAGATACGCCTGAACAGAAGTAGGCGCTAAAGACTTAGTGCGGATCGCAGTAAGTCACCCAAATAATTGCCATTTCAGAAATCATACTTTACAACACCATAAGCGTGAAGGTCAACCTTAAAGTTCACCTAGAGAGCGGCAAGCAGATGTTTGGGCTAAGAACAAGTCCATGGGAATGCCCGCCCACACAAAAGGTTGCGAGGAGCACTTCAGAGTATTGGTCACTCGAACGCATAAGTTGGTTTTAGATCAAGTAGTTATTGACCTATTGCAGCACATAAGGCTGACGGAAACCCGGGGACTGCGCATACCTGGTGAGCCCCAAGAAGGGCGAAACCGGTCGTGGGTTGTCGATGGATTTTCAGCAACCTTATGAGTAGTACATTACCAAGATATAGTCACTGACCTGTTTGTTGAGCGTGGCCATTTGCCAACAGATGTTTTTCTCAGCAATCGTGGGGACTGATGATTTGGCCAAGCCTCTTTCTGAGTCGACGTCACTGCGGTTGGCTAAACCATGCCAGAGTCACTGTACACACCGGTGTTCCACTCGTGACTTCCTATTGTCCGGTGCTGGAACTTGTACAGTTGAATCAGGTTGAAAAGAGTGGATCGTGTAAACTCGGTAGTAACCTCAAAATCAATGCAACTATAATCGGACACGACTTTCCAAGATGTTACCACACGCACTTTGGTCTTTTTCCACAGTTTTTATCTTCCGACCTAATTCTCGTCACCACCGTCAACTATATGCGACAGATCTGACTACCAGGGGACGCATTGAGAACTACCAAAATTTAGTTACCAACTGACGTTACTTTCACATCACACGAATATATCATACTCCTCCTCTGTGTCACTGTCTAAACGGGGGTCTAGCTTGTTTGGAGGTCCTGGCCCAAGCCAGTCTAAGCGTTCTCCATAACTGTATCAGGGCGTGGTGAACTGACAAAACCGATGGTGCTAAAAGACGGATCCTTAACTGTTAAACACACATTATGTCAGGGGTAATTCCATATAAGTGATTGTGCCTTGTGTCCAAGGTTAAGCAATGATCAGATTTCGCGGACTGCAAATGCGCGATCACGTGATCACATCAATAATTCTACAAACTCTGAAGGAACTGCTGGTTATCCAGTCGGTCAAATGTTTGTTTTCACGAGAAGAGCTCCGGCGCAGTCGGCTCAAATCACCGTTCCAGGACGGTCAACACAACTGGCGAAAACCTGACGGTTTTTCACCGGGACTCTGTCCAGACGTTTTTGTTTATAGCTTGGAAAGAATTTGAGGGCTTCCGTTGAATGAGTGCAGTTCAATTGTGGGAAGTCGTGGCCTTCCATAGTCATATAAGCTTACATCTGATCAAATGTCGCTTCGTCAGAACGACAATACAAGTGGGTCAGCGGAACTCGCACTATTTAGGAATTATTCATGAATAAAATGACCCGCGAACAAGAGAGCGTGTGTGTCGAACAGAATGCTTCAGTTATCCGCTGAGACCTAGTGCTTTACCTGAAAATTTCAGTACAAAATTTTGAACTTCTTGGCTAATACAAAGCTAAGCTCGAACTCATGACCGATAAGGTGCACTACGCCAGCAACAGAATTCCAGAAA